TACTCCAGCTGGTCTTACTTTTGTAAGTAGGTGTTTCGTTCGTGTTGTGCAAATCGTTGACAGACCTTTGGCTGCTATAGTGCACCAGTTCCGAATAGATGTCAACGATGGGCACCAGCAGGCTTTCCGACTGCACCCCCGCGAGTACCACTTCTGCATCTTCTCTATGCGGTTCAACCATTCAGGCAACGAAATCCTCGCCGGTGGCAGCGACCGATGTCTTTACATTTACGACCTGGCACGTAACTATCAAGCCTTGCAGGTATATCACCGGTCTGAACGTTGTTCTGAACGTTATATACTGATCCTCTTTTCAGGTAGTAGCTCACCGCGATGACGTTAACAGCGTCGCTTACGCAGACATGTCATCGCAGATATTTTACACGGGTAGCGATGATGGACTGTGTAAGGTACGGTCGATCAAAGTGCTGTTGCAAATATCGGTGTATTTATGAATGAGATGTTCCATGGTTTGATACTGCATCCCAAACGTCAAAGTTTACCGTCTTAACAAGACCATAACAACCTAAATAGTTTAATATTTAGGTTAAAAGGAAGCATATGTTAAAGTTAAACAAAAATAAAGGATTGAAACATTTACAATCAAAGATTTGAAGGAAGGTTTCGTTGCGGCAGGCATCTGATACTGGTAAATACGCAGTACAAAGTGACATTAAAGTTAACACTGATCTTATCGGTTTACTAGCATACTTCCGCCCTGCCATGTGATACGGTTTTACATCCATGCACTGCATGTGCTCAAATACCATGGTGCTGTGTGCTAATTAAATGGTCCCCTAGGCCACCAGATGCAAGGTCGCGGTGTAAATCCGGTAGTAAGGATAACGTTATGTTAAAGTTACATAAGTTTCAGGTGGATTTACATGGACTTTCATCGTACCAAAATATCTTGACTTACGCTTTTGTGCTACTCAGAAACATACGGTGGTTCAGGTGAGTAGAGCTCGAAGTTGTAATTAGTTCGTTCTAACGTATATTCACTAAAAATGAAAT